ACCCTGCTGTCACTGAGCTCTCCTGCCCAGCAATCTTACACCCTTCAGTCCCTAGCCCTGGGTGAAGTCTACCCAAGGGCCTTCCTACCTTCAGGAACACACCATGCTGATGCCCTGCCATAACATATTCTGTGAGTTATCTCTGAGGCTAGACTGAAAGAAGGGCACATTAAAGCCAGCAGTTCCCTTTCCCAAGAGCTCTTCTATTCCCATTGTATCTTGTACCCCAGCTCTCAGCAAAGTGAGTTATTGATGCCTTTGACTAGCATGCACAAAACTCCAGCAGCTCACTTGTACCCAGTGCAGTCTCCTCTTCCCTCCTACGTAGCTCCTGGCAGGGAGTGGCCAAAGCACTGGGCACTCACGAAAGGGCAGGGCCTCTGCTGACCACTCTCCATCCAAAAGAAGGTTATTTGCACACTGTAGCACCTAGCCCAGAAGCTAGAACACAGCCTTTGGATCTTACTGACTGCCCAGCCTATGCCAGGCTTCAGGCCAAGAACTGAGAACACACCAGTGACTAAAGTTGTAAAGGTCACACTCCACTCTTGTGGTACTGCAATTCTAGCACAGAACAGACGGGTGAACACATAAACAGCATCCAGTAATAATGTCAGGCAAGCGACATGCAGATAGGAAAGAGTATGAGGAGGGGTTGATAGAGAAGGCTGCTCTTAGAGGAGACATTCAAGTCAAGGCATAATGATCAAGAAGCAAACATAACACACAGAGGCCACCGCAGGTAGAAAGGGAAGCAGTGGCTCGACCCACATAAGATGTAGAAAAAAGCCGGTAGCTGAAAGTGGGAAGCCAGGAAAAGAGGTGGCCAAGGAAGCTCAGAGAGAAGAGGAACCAAGCTCTGGATCCTGTGGGCCTGATAACAAAACTGGCTCTCCCTTAAAGTCCTGTGGACATCAATGAAAAGTATAAGGTCCTGATGCACATCTCTAAAGTGAGTACACTGCCAGCTACATAGAGAATAAAGCAGATGGAAACAGGACAAGCAGGCTGGGTCCAGGATGATAGGATTTTGGGTACCTTAAACCAAGATCTGGACACACTCCACAATGCATGGTGGTACACACCTATAATCCCAGCACACACCTATAATCCCAGCACTTGCAAGGCAGTGCAGGAGGATAGCCAGAGTTCAAGGCCAGCCTGGACAACTTAGTAAGACCCTGTCTTAAAAAAAGGAGGAAGGAGGTGCTGGGGATATCTGCCGGCAAGCCCAAGGTCATGAGTTCAATTCCTGGTACCCCACCCCCCCAAAAAGGATCCAGCCACATAAAGAAGGCAAGGATGTCTATGATTTATGACTCACAAGAACAACAGCAGAGTTGGTTCCAACATCAGCCCATGCCCTCAACCTGCCAAGCATCTGAAAAGCAGGCTAACACCTCCCAACACATGGCTGTCACGTACATGCAAGTCATGGCAGCAGGCTGGGACACAGCACATATTCAATCAGGAACACTCTTCCATTTAACTGGAAAGTAAACTTCTCATTCCCCAGCAAGGTGGGACACTAACCTAAAGGAAAAATAGCAGCCACTTTGGTGTCACTGTGGCAATGTACCCAGGTCACATTTTGATGCTGCAGGAGGTGAGAGTAAAGCAGTAAGAACATCTATGTAGATGCAAGAGAAAAAAAAAATTCTCCTGAGGTTGATAAACCACAGACCTACCTAACTGTTTGGGGTTTGGGTCTATAACATTTGGTTATAGAATCAGGCTAGTACCAAACCCTGTTGGTCCCATGCAGGGCTTCTCTGTACCTATCCTGGAAAGGGTAGGGAAAGCGTGGAAAGGGCAGAGAAAGTGTAGAAAGGGATTTGACCGTGGTGTCAGGCAGATCTGGATCCAGCCAGTGACCAGCTGCCTCCCTGAATCCCCATTTCCTCAACAGTTACATGTAAACCACCACACTCCTCACAGGGTTTGCCTGGGAAGTAGCAAACATTCAAGAAAAGTCAATAAATGTCTAAATGGGACTCACATCTACCAATGATGGGAATTAGGTTGAAAATTCACACAGCTGGGAAGGACACCAGCCTTCACACCCAGATCTGCCCAACTCCAAAAGCATATCCTTTTCCACTGACCTAAATTACAAATGCCCCTCAACTTATAAAAGGCTGTGTCCCAATAAAGGCATCAGAGGTTGAAAGGTTGCTATGCGGAACATGCTCTTCACTGAACCTACCCACAACCACTGCTGAGCAACAGTGTCACCACAAAGTGTTGCCTGTCCCTTCATGATCTCCTGGCACATAGCAAGCTGCAGCTCATTGCCATTGCCCTACATCATGAGAATCTGTAACATACATTCAGCCCAGAAAAGATCAAAGTTCTAAGTACAGTTTCAACTCAATCTATCACTTTCATATTTTCAGAGTTGAAAATCATAAGCTCAACCATTATAAATCAAATTATCTCTGTATTCACTAGAAAGGATGAAAAATTTGCCTTCCCTTTTTTTTAACCTATGCCTTCCATTTCCAATGTAGATTGGCTTAGAATACATGTCCTAAAATGTATTTAAGTATGACCAGAAAAAAATTCAATTATGAGGAGCAGGGACCAATGCAGTGGTGAATTCCTGTCATCCCAGCACTTTGGAGGCTGAGGCAGAAAGATTACCAAGAATTTGAGGCTAGCTTGGGCTACACAGTGAGTTCAAGAACAACCTAAACTACATAATGAGATCCTCAAAAAAACAAAGGGGAAATAAAATTTTTTTTTAAAAAAAGTGGGGGCTGGTGCGATGGCTCAGTGGTCTAAAGCACCTACTTAGAACAAGCTTAGCAAAACACAGGGACCGCGGTTCAATCCCCCAGCACCACATGCCAGCCAGCCCCGCCCCCGGTGGGCTGAGCTGGCCACACACACACACACACAAATAAATAAAAAATTAAAAAAACAAAACAAAACAAAGGGGATTAGGGTACAGTAGAGAATCATATGCCCCCTTAATACTCATTTTCCAATGAATGAAACATGGATTGGTAGAAGATTTTAGAAGGCTAAATAAGTTTCATCACTATTTCAAGCCTCAGTTGCCACTATAGTAAAATGGGTAAAGGATCTGGACTGCCTGAGGATGGAGTGTAGGAGGAAGCCAAGATCAAAATAACAAACTCCCCACTCCGACTGAGACCATGCCCTACCCATGAGGCCACCTGCCACCTGACCAATAATCATCTGCCTCATGTGTGCCAGCCTGTGCCTTAAGGCATAGGTATCCCTCATACCAGGATGTACAAGGATATGGAAAGGGGTAGGGACTCCAGCACCAGGTCAGTAGGAAGCAGCCTCCTTTACACTAAACATCCATTTGTGGCAGCAGCTGATATTATCATCATCATTCTTTCTTACAACAAAACAACTTTTAAGAGGCTTGACCCTAAAGTGTACCCAAAGTGGATTTGGAAAAAGAATCCACAAATATACAGTAGTAGTACTGCCCAGAGTGGTAAGAGGGATCCAGTACTGACAAAGGACTTTTGCCTCATTTATAATTTTCCACCTCTTCATAAGTAGCATTATTTTTGTATTTTCTATAAACAGTAATTAAAGATTTGTTAAATGGCACAATGTCTCAGGAGGGTATTTTAGCAGTACCCATAATGATTGAAAATGCACACCCTTCACCCCAGACAGGTCAGTTCCAACTAAGCCTACTAATACAGTAACCAAATCTACAAGTCAAAGACTTCTCTTCAATATACACTGCAACACGGTTAGCAAACTGGAACAAAAATGGGTAGATTAGGACATGGCAAAACTGATTGGGAAAATGGGCTGACCTGTTAACTATAAGACAACCCCTCTCTGGAGAACTGAGCAGGTTTTCTGTAGGATGGTTTTGACAAAACCATGGCCTGGCAGCCACCACGGAGATAGTTCGGCAGTGTAAGCACCTGCCTGGCAAGGACAAGGACCCAGGTTCGATCCCTGGTACTACATGCCATGCCAGCCCCAAAGCTGGGTATGGGGGCACATGCCTGTAATCCCAGGGCTGGGGAGGCTGAGACAGGAGGATCATAAGTCTGAGGTACCTGGCAAGACCCTGTACCAAACAATTTTTTAAAGATTTTTGAAAAAGAAAGGCAGCCATAAGGAGCAACACTGTTGTAACTTTCCATGATAGCCCACACTGCATTTCCCAGACATAGCATGTACTTTTATCTTTGCTCTTTCCCTGTCTTTTTACTTGGCCCAAGATTACTCTGCAGAGCCAGTTTCTCTCCCCGTCTTCACTTACACTTTCTCTAATGAACTCCGTCACTGTTTTTTGCTTCCAGATGAAAAGAAACATAAGGAGAGGCGAGCAACCCTGAACCTGGTAATGTTTAGTTGGGAAGCCACTTTTTAGTAACAAACTACCCAATAACAGAAAGGTCCATCACTAAGGCTGTAGGAGTGCCAAAGTCAAGCCCAGCCTGGGCAACCTACAACTTAACAAGATATGTCTCAAAATTCTTTTTTTTTAATTTTAAAGAGCACTGGCGGGCCGCGGAGATGGCTCAGTGGAATATGCGCTTCCCTGGCAAGCGCTAAGGGACTGAGTTCAATCACCAGTTCCACAAAAAAAAAAAAAAAAGCACTGGCGCTCTGGGCAAAGGCCCTTGAATAAGAAAAATAGGGTTTCTCAGTTGAGAAACTGTTGACTTGGAGTCTATTAACAGAATTCTTAAGTGAGCTTTAAAAACTGTGGCGTTTTACAAATACAGTGACCTCTCCTGACGGAGCTGAAATGATTTATACAGGGGAGAGGGATGTTTACAAACACCTACATGCTTGTTTTTGTCAGAGCTCTCGTGAAAGCATACACGGGAAACTGGGGAGTGTGGTGCATGGCAGCAGGAGCACGGTGCGCGGTGACTTCTGGGCAACTTTCCCGCGTGCCCTGCGCGGGCCGGCGTCTCCGCCTCGCTCGTGCGCGTGACGCGCGCGTTTCTGACGGTCCCGCCCGCCTGCCCACCCGGCCCGCTCACCGCCGATGATGGTCCGGATGAGCGAGGCGTGCCCGGGGCAGTCCACCAGCGTAACCTGCAGCAGCGACTCGCCGGACTCAGCCGAGCCGGGCAGCGGCACCGAGAAGCACGAGAAACCCAGGTCCAGCGTGATGCCGCGCTCTCGGCTCTGCGGCTGCTTGTCGAAGGCGGCGGTGGACGCCGTAGTGCTCAGCGCCCGGGCCAGCGCCGTCTTGCCACTGTCGATGTGGCCCAGCACGCCCACATTCACATTCACCCGCCGCCCAGCCATTCCTCCTGCTGCCTGCGCCCCCGCCCCTCACTCTCCCGGGCAGCGGTCCGACGCTGTAAGCTGCCCCCCCGCCTCTTGGTCCCGGCGCACCCGTTCCGGCCACGAAGCTTCCGCCCTACAGGCGGGTAAGGCGCTGCAGGTGCCCTGGGCCGTGTCTTCGCTGAGGTCACTATGGGCGTGGCCTCCCGCTCACCTGGCTCCGCCCACCTGGACCTGGAGGAGCCCGGGATTGGGCGACCACCCTTTTCTTCATTCATTGCGAACGGTTTTTAGAGAATGCCTCTGGGATGCCCACCGCTGCCTATTTAGTCACAGCACCGGGAGACTGTGCACTCTGGATAGTTGAGGAATCCGGAGGAATCAGACCACATGCAGGAGGACTAGCTCTCTAAGGAAAATAAAACCACACATAAAGCCTACAATCTCAGCTAACTGGGAGAGGCTACAGCAGGAGGATACTATGCTTCAAGGCCAGCCTCCTGGTCAATTTAGCAGGATCCTATCTAAAAAACAAAGAAACAAGCCCAGGGACCGGGCGAGACAGCTCAGCAGACTAAAGTGCCTGCTTAGGCAAGGGACCGCGGTTCCATCCCCTGCACCACATGCCACACCAGCCCGCCAGAGTCCAGGGTGTAGTACCCTACGCCTGTAATCCCGGTGCTAAGGAGGCTGAAAGCAGGAGGATCACCATGAGTCCGAGGTGCATGGTATAGTGAGACCCTGCAACAACCAAATACATTAAAAAAAAAAAAAAAAAAAAAAAAAAAAAAAAAAAAAAAAAAAGAAGTCCCAAAAAAGACTGCAATAAAAAGGACTGGAGCACCAGGGAAGAATAGCTACCTCTCAGAGTGAGGTTCCAGTGGTGAAGAAAAGCCAGTCATGGCAAATTCTGGGAAAGGGTGATCGAGGATGGAAAGGACAGTATTATCTGGGAGTTGTTGCCCTGGGCACGTTAGCCTGGTTTCAGGAAGGGATAGGGTCCTAGTGATGTGTAAAAATGTGCTGTGGGTATGCTGCAGTCCACAACTCTCATCAGAATCCATATGAAGTATCTAGAGTCATGGGAAAGATTACCACCCACACTCAATAATCAGGTCCCAAATTTAGGTCTCTGCTCTTGCCAGACAGAGAGGTCAAAATAGAGACGTCACCTGAGTTTGTGATGCCTAGGTCAGGGACATGTCTGCATTCTATAAAACAAGAAGCCACCATGCAGCCCCAGCCAGCACATGTCAGGGAGGAATGCTAGCCAGCATTTTCCCATCTTTCCTTTTCTTTCTTTAAAAAAAAAAAAAAAAAAATTTTATGTTTTTTGGCTTTCCATGAGGCTATTTTTTTTAAATTTTCCCTTATTTATTTATTTTCTTTTTCTTTTTTTTGTAATGGTCAGCTTAGCCCATCCTGGGGGCTGGGCTGGCATGGCATGTGGTGCTGGGGATCGAACTGAGGTCCCTGCATGCTTGCCTAAGCTTGCCTAAGCAGGCGCTTTAGACCACTGAGCTATCTCGCCAGCCCCCCATCTTTCCTTTTCAAGAGAAAAAAATTTCCATATGAAATCTCACCTTTTGCACATTGCCAACTCACTTAACCTTTCTCCTTGCTTTTACTCTTTTTTTTTTTTCCTGCTTCTACTCTTAATCCTCAAATTCCTATCCTCCAAATGGCAGCCAGAGTGAGCTTCTTCAAGCATCTGAGACCCTGCCACTTTTCTCAGAGCCCTGTACTATTTTCCTCTTGCTCAGGGCAAGACCCTTGGTCCTCACAGAAGCATGGTGGCAAGTGGTTGGTCACCCCAACACCTGGCCCTCCTCACTGCACTGCCGTTTCCTGCCAGCTCCAGCCACACTGGGCCTGCTATTCCCCCAGAGCCCCCTGGACTCACTCATCTGGCAGTCTTCAGCTGAACATCTCAGAAATTCATCCTTCCACCAGGACACTTCCCTTGGGCAGCCTCTTAGGAAGACTCTCACTCCCCTGCACAGCTTCCTTACCCTTTTCATTTTTTTCTTTTAAGTGCATCACCCCTTGCACCATCAGAACGTGTTCATTATTTATTATCTGTCTTCTCTAGCTTTGGACCTTGGGCTTCTGCTGAAGCACACAGTGTCTAGCACATTGCCTATAGGCGTTGCTCATCTCCAGGGAGGGAAAGGAAGAAACCTTTTATTTGAGACATACTGGTCATTTTGAAAAAGAAAATAAATTTTTTTGAGACAGGCTTTCTCTATGTAGTCCAGGCTGGCCTTGAACTCATGGAAATCCTCCTGCCTCAGCCTTCAGTGCTGGGCCAGACACATGCCATGGCACAGTGCCAGGCTAGTGTCTTCATTTTTGAAGTGGGCAGACATAATAGTTCCTGATTGAGAGTTATGAGGTTTCAGTGAGTTGATTTTTTTCATAGCACTGTCTACTGTCTGGTAAATGCTACATCAGTGCATCAGTGTCCAGTAAATAAAACTAAGTAAGAAGTTGAGGGGCAGAGCTTGTTTTCAGGGCTCAGAGAACACTGTGAAGGTACTCACTTTGCCTTTTTTTTTTTTTTTTTTTTTTTTTTTTTTTTTTTTTGCCCCTCCTTCCTTCAGCCACCTCCAGTTCCAGGCTGTCTCTGTCCTCATAGTGGCCGGATGGCTCCCAGAAACTCCAAGTTACAACCTCAGCAACTTCAAAACCTCCAAAATAGAGTCTCTTTGGCCCAAATGAAGCCATCTACCTGGGTACCAAGAGGGAAATACTGTGTTCTGCCTGGTTGGGTGTGAATCATAAATCCACTCCAAGAACAGGTGGAAGATGGGTGTGGTAGCACAGGCCTATAATCCTAGAATTTTGGAAGGCTGAGGCAAGAAGATCTCGAGCTGGAGTTCCACCTGGGCAACCTGGAAAGACCATTTCTCAAAATAAAAATTAAAAAACAAACAAAAAAGGAGGGCCTATGAACATATCTTAGTAGTAGAGCATGCATTCATGCACACACACACACACACACACACACACACACACACACGGGCATGCTTACACACACAACCAGAAGGAAGTTGGAAGGATGAGGGGCTGGGCCACTTCCTAATAGAAATGGAAGAGCTAATCCAGCAAAATACAGGGTTCCTCATGCTTCCTCTTGTGTGCTTCTCTTAGCATCTCTAGCTCAGAGTCGAGTTTGCCCCAGCGTTCTTGCCCATCCATTCATATGGGCTGAGGCTGCTTTGAGCACTCAGCCCTGGCCTGGCCCAGGCAAAGGTGCCGCATGACTGCATCCTGAGCAGACCTGGCAGATGCAGCCATGGCAGGCACCCTCCCTTCAGTACCCTCCCACACCGCGCACAGTCCCTGGGAGCTGTATGGCTGGGAAACAGCCTGCAGAAGCATGATTATCTGGGATTTGTTCTTAATGTTAATGGGATGCTGGTTCCTTTCTGTTTCTTTAATGCCATTTTGCACCCAGGTAGTTCAAAGTTCTTTACAAACAGCCAGTAATTAATTCAACTTCATTAAGGCCAGTTAATCCAGGATTAATTATAAATTTGCCCAGAGGAAGTTATTATACTTTGCTCTTTGATTTGAGTTTTGGCTTTAAAGATTCTTTCAGGAATGGAAATTTCCCTCTCCTCCGAGGAGCCGCCTTGCAGGCAACTGTGTTAACTGTATACTTTCTTTACTATGCCCCTCAGCAACCTCAACACACAGTCATCCAGGCTTTGGGCTCAGCTCCCTAGCCTCCCCAGCATTAAAGAGACCTGCTGTGCCATGCTGAGCCAGAGCACATGCAAGTCCAGCCAGCAGCAGAGAGGTGTCCCCTGCCAGTTTCAGTCAAGCTGTGGTATTTCACATTTGATGGGTGACATCACCATGACTTCAGTCTACAAAATGAACATCAAAATGTTTAATGGGCACAAAGCTGGGTGAGTGGCACACACTTGTGATCCTAGCACTTGGAAGGCTGAGGCAGGAAGATCACCTTGAGTTCCAGGCTAGTCTGGGCTACATAGTGAGTTTAAAGCCAGATTGCACTATACAGAGAGACCTTGTCTCATAAAAACCAACACAGAATTTCATGGATCAGTGTGGTCTGTAGTAGGCAATGCCACATCTCTATCTCTATTCCTCTTGGCAGCTTTTTGGCCCCCTTCCCCAAGATTATGGGAAGATGATCCCCCTGCCAGGGTTGACCTGAGGCTCAGATCCAATTGGCCAGTGCCAGGCAGTACCCATCCCATAGCAATTGTTTTGGTTCAACTTGACCCAAAGAAGGCCCTGGAGTTCTCCATGGCATTTGATATAGAAATATGCTCTCTGCTACTAGCTAACTCTGGAAAGGACTGAGTGTAGCTCAGTGGTAGAAGGCTTATCTAACTCATGCCAGGTTCCAGTTTCCAGCCCCAGCACCGCAAAACATAAACCAACCAACCAAACAAACAAACAAACAAAAAACAAGCTGGAAATGGTAGCACATGCCTGTAATTCCACTCCTCAAGGCAGGAGGATCACTTTGAGTTTGAGGCCAACCTGCAATATATAGTGAGTTCAAGACCAGCCTGAACTACATCATGAGACTTTGTCTCAAAAAAACAAGTCCCTCCCATGTAAAAATACACAAATGGAAATAAAACCTGAAGGCTATATATAGGCCAAGAGAGGCCACAGGAGGGAAGCCTGGCTAGGACTGAGCAGTGGCTCCCAAAAGATATTCCATGAATCTGTTCCCTTAAATGGGAAAAGGAATCATAAGCGTGATCAGATTATGGATCTTGACATGGAGAGGTTGTTCCTAGTTATTTGGGTGAGTTCAACAATATCACAGAGACACCTTAGAAGAAAGAGGCCAGTAAGTCAGATTCAGAAAGATTACAAGAAAGTCTGGTCGTAAAGAAAAGCAGGGGGGCTGGTGAGATGGCTCAGTGGTCTAAAGCACCTACTTAGAACAAGCTAAGCAAAGCAAAGCACAGGGACCGTGGTTCAATCCCCCAGCACGACATGCCAGCCAGCCCCCTCCCCCTGGTGGGCTGAGCTGGCCACACACACACTAAATAAATAAATAAATAAATA